CCCCGCGGGGAGGCTTGCCTTCACTGCCCCTCTCGCAGCATTACAACAGCAGCGTCTCCAGTAGAGCTCTGGTATTCAGACTCCCCGGGGACTTCCCGCTGCAGTGACCCCACACACTTGCTTCTTCCAGTTGTGACTCAAGTCCTACCCAGTCCTTCTATTAGGTAGTGCCCGTATCCTACCAAAAACCTCACCAAAATTGATCCTGACTGCTCGTTTTGTGATAGAAGCCCTGGGGGCTGCCTGAACCCCAGAGACAAGAAGCTCTTTCAGGCTGCAGAGGCATGACTCAGGCAAGGTGACAATATCAAAACTCTGGGACTTAGGAGCTTAAATCCCTTCTCCTGAATCCTAAAGGTGCTTTGGAAAAAAAACCAAAAACCTTTCTCCTACATTGCTTGTTCACAACTGAAAACTCTCCTCCTTAGTGTCTGGAGAAGCTGTCTAGACCATGCAGACCCAGTCCTGTCTCCAGATCCTCCTTCCCCACACCAACCCTTCCCTGCAATTCCTGGCTGAACTTCAGAAACATCCGTATGCCTCCAGAAGCTACTGACATATTTGTGAAGTTTCTGGAAGTGGGGAGCCTAAATAAAGGTCTCACAGCTGCAAGGTAAATGGGGTTAGTACCTTCTGCAGGCAAGCAAACCATGGGAAAGTCTAAAGGAAGGAAGGAAAGCACGTGCCTCTTGGGACAGGATGAGGTGCTGGGAGATAAGACAGAAGGTGCATGGGCTGTGTGCTTTGGGGGCTTTTCTTTGGCTTTACCCACTCCTCACAAGTGACTGTAAGAGGTTGAAGGTGTGTACTGGTTGCGAGGCAGAAGGAAGGGCAAGGTGAGATGGATTCCTTACTCCAGGAAGCTGGTGATGTAATCCCTGCTGCACGTGGACCATACAAACGGGTTGGTCTTCATGGTGATGTGAGCAGCCATGAGCTTGGCCGTTTCTTGCCCACGGGAGCCACAGCTGTTGCCGACCCCATCGTGATTCATGCCAAACCTAGAAAGCAGCACCAAGGCAATAGAAAGATGATCAGCTGCTGCATTTTCAACACATCTGGATCATCCGTAGGAAGGATTTTTCAGCTCCTTTGGCAGGAACAAACCAACACGGGCCCTTCTCTGTGACGGTCGCTCCCAGGGACTCTTCTGGCACTGTACTCACGTGTGGCCGATCTCGTGGGCAATGGTGAAGGCTGTGGCCAGGCCAATGTCCTCGTTGATGCTGCAGCTTCGTTCTCGTTCGCACATCCCGCCGACGGGGGCCAGGCCTAGGGAAGCCAGATAGAGCTGTCACATAGGGTCAGCATCTGCAGGGGACATGGGTGGTGTTTGGGGACTAACTGATGTGCTTCACACTCACTAACACTGAGCATAGCCTGCTGTCAATACCAAGCTTCTTCCCACCAGTTGCACTGGGCTTTGGGATGGACCCATGGCTTTTATGGCTGTGGGCATATGGTCACTCAGCACTGTCAACTAAATTAACGACAGGCTCGGAAATGCTAAGAATAGGTCAAAATCCTCTGAATTTCATATCCAAACCCCAGACTGTGTGCAGAGGGGGAGCGGTCCTTGTCACAACACTGGCACTGCTGGTGGGGGAACCTGAGATCAGCTGCACCAGCACTTGGGCATCCGAACTCGGCCAGGGCAGCCTGGACAACTGAGTAAGCCAGGATCCAACCTGACCATCTGCGCTGAGTTCTGGCTGACACCCACCATGATCAGGAACCCAGCCTGACTCCATCTGGAGGGCTGGATCATGCAGAAATCCCCCCTGAATCACGGCAGCAGATTCCCCCAACCCTCTGCCCATACGCTGTCCCACCACTGCAGGCTGTGCCCACTGCACAGGCCAGGGAAGGAACAGCTTCTGTTAAAGGAACGAATCGAGCCATCACGGCACCTCCAGCCTCAACCTCCCTCCCAGGCACCTCGTCTGCAGCCACATCAGGTCAGAGATCCACCAACTTTTCCTTTTTAACTGCAGAGATTCAGAGCAGTAATCCCTCCCCGGGTGCTTAGTCTAGACCAGGGCAAGGCAAATTAGGAGCTATAGCCAGAGAGAGCTGCAGGGTCTGTCTGCGTCTAGCAGTTTAAATAAAGAACTCCCTTTATAGTCATCACAAAAAAAGTCTTATTTCTCTCTGCTAAGCCAGGAATACACCACTAGGCTATAGACCAGCCCTAGATGCGAGCGGTTCTTAATCATCAGGCTGGACCTGACCCAGGGATATAACGGAGAAGCGTTCCAGAGCCCATCCGTCCTCTGGGTTGTTGCTTTTAGTGTTTACAGAAGTAAGGAGACTACAGAGTCGAGCGGGCTGGAAACCACTGGCCTGTTCCTGGCTCCGCTGCCGGTGCTTGCGGTAGCGTTGGGCGAGCACTTCCCCTCAGCCTGCTCACTAGGAAAGGGGGATGGCACAGCCCGCCCTCGCCACGCTCCCGAAGATGCGTGTGCTGGTGAGAAGTGCTTCCGAAGGGGCAACAAAATCCTACCTACCCAGGGTGCCACACGGTTTATTCTTGTAGATGCAAATGTCGTATCTGCAAAGACGAGAAGGTGGTGTTAAGAACACTTATAATTTCAGTGGCTGCAAAATAGCGCATCTCCCTTTTACTGATGTGTTCACATCCAAAACACTTCAAAACAGCCCATGGCTCATGCAACACTTCTGGAATGGAAAGTATCGACTGTAACAGGTAAGACACCTCTGATCTGTATTGTACAACCCCAGGCTGAGACTCTCTGTGGATTTTTAACGATAGCTCCTGTCCCTTAACTATGAGGCAGTGCTGAGCGGGGTCAGAGGTTTCATATTGATGAAACATGGTAAATCAGCAAGGACAATGTTATTCCAGCCTTGAAGCTCTCCGGGAAAACATTTCAGTTTGAAAACCCACTGTGGTTTCATTAAAATACTAAAATGATTTTTTTTTTCAGTTTAGTTCTTTACTGAGAATTTTCCAAACAAATTTAATATGGGTTGATTCAAGATGACTCTTCGCTCTGTTTCTGGCCTCGACTTCCAGCCATTGCATCAAGGAATCGACTGTTTGCACATCGTTAGCCATGTACAAGGAAAAGCTAAACGAGGACAGCAAAGTAAAATCTCCTCCAAATTGAAATGCAGCATCCTCGCAATGGGATGCGGCAGCAGCTCCAAAAGAGACTGGTTTGGGCCAGAGAGTGAATATTATCATTTAATTGTGGAGACAAACCACATGCCCTCCCTGCCTCTGTTCAAATACCTTCTCCACAAGGTGAGACTCCCCAGACATTTGGGTCTTTGCAAAACCCGGGCTGAAAGGGGCAAGGCTAAGACTGAAATCCACGTAGGGCGGGCAGGTGGGGGGACCGGTGGCAGCCGGGCTGCGACGCCCCAGAGCCGGGTTGGGGTGTTGCTCCTTGGCTCCCGAGGTGCATTTCAACCTAAGTGTGAGCTGGGCTCAGAGCACCGAGGATGCTGACCTGGGGGACACCCGCATGGCGAGCAGGACCATCCGACACCGCTCGCCCCTGCTACCCCACGGGGACGGGAGTGGGGAGGAAGCAAGCTGATAGCACACGACGGGTTAAGTGTAACGTGTTCCTGGTGATGGCTCCTGTCCCTTTGGCCCCTGGCGCTCTCTGGAAGTGTCCAAACCTCTCACCCCCGGCAGGAAACCGAGTGAGTGAAAAACATTTGTTGCTTTGTTTTGAGCGAATACCGTTAAAGCCTTCAGAGGCTCTGGTTTGACACGTCCCTGCAAGAGAAAAAAGCCCGCAGCTCAGCAAGATGTTATCGGGAGACGGGGAATTTATTAGAGACGGGGCCAGATGCGCTGGTGCTGTCCAAGCCTGGCGTGGCCGGCCCAGCGAGTCGCTTCGGGTTAGCTCAAACATCTGGTGAGAGGCCGAAGAACTCGGAGCCGGCGTTTGCGTCCCACACGTGTGGCGGCAGGCAAGGAAAAGCAGACGGCTGCAGCTCCGGGAGGGTGAAAAGCTGGGGCCGAGGGGCCTTTCGCTCGCTTCTCCCCTGGTGCTTGTGGGCTCCCATCTCACAAGCTCCCCGGGAGGGATGCACCAGGCTGCACTCGACTCCCGCTGCTGCCAGGAACTGGAGCAGGAGAGCGGTGCATGGTGCCAACGAAACCGGCTCCCGCTTGGAGGCTCCCCTCTCCGGCGCTTTCATTTTATGACTTTCTTCCACTCCGCAAGAGGGGGGAAAAAAGGCACAAACAAATCTTGGGTTTGCCTTTGGCTTCTCCCCAGGCTGCTGCCCCTCTGCCCAAGTAGGGTTTATATGGGCACTGGAGAGCCAGTGTCCCGGGCGCAGCTGGCAGCTGCCTCTCAGCACCCTTCATCCCCTCCGTCCTTCCAGCTCTCCCTTCGGCACCCTCTGTCCTCCCAGCCACCCCTCTGTCCCCTCCACTGTCCCTGTTGTCCTCTCTGCATCTTCTTTCCTTCCGACCATCCGTCCGTCCTTCCAGCCGTCCCTCCCGTACCCTCTGCTGCTCCAGGCTCAAGCACCCATCTATTCTGACGGGGGTTATTTGTCCTGCATGTGAAGGTTCAGAGCCCTTCACGCAGCTCTGGAGGTCTAATTCAGCAGCCAGGTTAAGCTGCTGACCTAGACTGTTGTTACAGGAGCGCAGAGACATAGGCAGGGCAGGACTGCTCTGGTCCTAAGGGAGCTGGGATGAAGTCACTACTTCAGGGGTGTCCACCAGCTACCAAGGAGAGAGTGAGGTGAGGTAAAATGAGGTGAGCCAAATCCCGTACTGGCTGGAGGCACTCTGTCACTGTCACGAAGCTCAGGTCCCACCTGTAACCTCTTCTCCATCTTTCACAGCAGGGGCAGATGGGGCTCTCCGTTTCAGTAGGATGCCCGATGCTCCACGACTCCGGGGTGGGTTCCCACACATGCCCAACACCACTGTACACACTGCGCCTTTGCTTTTGGTGCACAAATACCCGTGGCTGCAAACTAAGCTCCTTGAGAGCACAACAAATACTGAGGGAAGACACTGGAGGATGATAACTATCTGAACTGCAGTGATCTGCATCGCTGCAAGGGAACTGGCAAGTGGCCAGCCTGAGCGACAGCCGCTGCCAGGCAGCTTGCCGGGGAGTGCATGGGAAGGAAGCTTCGGATGAACCACTTGGGCAGAGATAGAGGACAGCTGCATGAGGACAACCTCCCCGTAAGGACAGCGCTGCCAGGGCCGGGCTCAGCCTTACCTGGTGATCAGCACTGCAGTGTCGTGGTTGGCTATGCCATTCTCGGGGATAGCGTTCCCATTGCCATTCCTGTTCACAATGGATTTCTGCCACTTGCAGAAGCTGTCCAGGGATTTTCCGGCGTGGTGGTTAATCTCCAGTGTGGGCTGGAATGGAAGCAATATGACAGTGTTCCCAGGAAAGCTCGGATATGAAGGCACTGCCTATTCCCATGCCAGCAGAGCACTGACACCAGTCCAGATGCCCTCACCTTTTCATGGAGGCCATGGGAAAGCAAGACTTTAGGAGGACTACAGCTACTTAAACCTCCCTAAAGCCACCTTAATATAGGAACAGTCCTCAGAGTCCCAGAGGTCTCCTCAGCCCATAGCCTGAACCCAGTCCCCAGCTGCCATTGGGAGGATGTGGTGCGCCCAGCAGACTGCACTGGGGGGGCCTCCTGGGGGTGACATCCAGGGGAAACACGCAGACCCACAAATGAAGTGCAGACGCATGATGGAAGCGGCTCAGCAAAGCCCACCTTACCTGATCCTCGGTGAGGAGAATCAGCCGGGTCACCAGGATATTGACAATATTGCCCAGACTCGAGTCCTGGAAAAGTTTGGCAACCTGACCTCCAAGAAACAAGAAAAGACGAGTCTTAAAAATGAGCTCGCTGGCTGGGTGACGGTGCAATCAGCGGGTGAGCTGGCATGTACTGGGCACCCGGTGGAGGGAAACAGGGCTGCTTCATTGGTGTGGGCTGCAGGGTCTGAACACAATCTTTTTAGAAAGCAGAAAGGGGTATGGGACTCCATGTTACCACTTGGATTGCAGAGCCTCCTAAACCATGTTCACACCTCGGTGTCTCCTTCTGGGGAGACTCGAGCAGTGAAGGCGACATCCCACAGCACCTGCTCCCCGTCTGGAGCTCAGGTGGGGAAGCCCCACGGTCCTGGCATTACACAGCCATGGGGACGAAGCTTTGCTGACTGCCCGTCGGCAGGGAACAATACAGCAACTCTCAGAAATCTGCCGCCACACGATGGGTGTTTTACAGCAGATGAAACAGTTAGAAACGGTATTGTTTTAAAATCTGGCATCTGCTTTAGAAATGCAAACAGAGCAAGCCATGAAAAGAGATCCTGCAGAGGACAGGACAAAGAACCATCACAGAGGGGCTTTCAGCGGTTTGATGGATAACTTCCAAGCCTATCTCACCTCACAGGAGGATTCAGCATGGCCAATTCAGACTGCTAATGCATCTAGCCTGGTATCCTGCCGCCAGCAATGACCCAAATCTGATGCTGCAGAGGAAGCTCCTCTGCAGTAACCCAGAGACACGGGCAGCGCGGTATGGAAGAACGAGGGTATTTCTCCCTACCCCTCACGCTGATCAACCCCCAAGCGTGAGAGCTCACTGTCCTTATGCTTTCCCATGTGTTTCTCAGCTTGGCTGGCCCTATTTGCAATGCTAATCTGAGATGAGAGATGCTGTTCAAAGAAAGGGCTTTGTTCTCCCAGTCCAGATCTGGCCTGTAGTATGGTCAGACAGGCCAGAGTTTACCTCTCCTACAGTGCCTCCCCTATACAACAGAGAGTCCCTGCAGGGTCCAGAATATCACTGCTCATGAGCAGCAGCAGCAGCAGCAGCGTATCAGGATTTTTGACCCAACCTGGGGGAGAAGCCACTGCCATCCTGGAACAGATCGGATTCCCCCACTGCGTTCCCATCCTGCCTGTCTTCTTGCAGGAAAAGCACATGGCACCCTCTGCCAAACCCAGACATTTGGGGAGACGAACAGATTGACTGTTCGTCAGTAGGATTGACTCCTGCTTGCTCTCTGCTGCTGGGTGCGTGAGCCCCTGGGGTCCCCCAAGGTTCATGATGTGGTTATAACACTTACAATATTCATGATGGCCAGGATGTACTGCTCTATGTCCCGCCGCCCGTGGTACCCCACCATCATTTTGTCAGCCACCACCAGGGTCTCCACGTAGCGCTCTGTGCTGACGGATCTCTTCAGCGGCAGCTGGCCTCGCTGGCTGTGGTTGCCCG